AGCACGGTCGACATAAGCGTTAACAACACTCCTCTTGTACAGTGGTACCTCGGAATGCGAGTGTCCCTGTATGCGAGTTTTTCGGAAGACGAGCAGGATTTACTCCAAAAATATGTCTCGGAAGGCGAGGATTACCTCGGGACGCGAGTTGTTGATACGTGTACAGGCTGACTGGCGCGTGGTGGCATGGCGACCCACCTGAATTCTTCACAAGGATTTACAGTTTTTTTATCGTTTTTTTGGCCATTTGAGCATAAAAGTTGTCATTATATATCTTGCCGTGGGTCTCAAGAAAGCCATTGGTAAGGTTCAACTGAAGAAAATAGCTGTGAGTAGAGGCAGTAGAGGATGTCCCTTCTTGATTAAGAAAATGTGTGAAGTATGGGAAGAACTGCAAAGTTTTGTTGAAAAAACTCACCCAGATAAAGCTGTAGCAGGCCGTTGCATTGACCTTTTAAATGATAATGTGATGTCTTACTACAGACAAGTGTTAAAATGTAGGGAAAAACAAGTGTCATTAGACAAATTCTTAGTAAAACAAGCAAGTCCTAGTGGTATGCAGGCAAAATGTGCCAGAGTGTGCATACCAGTGAAGTCCTCACTGCCTGATGTAATAATGGAAGGGGACTTCCCTTCCAAACAGTAACTCCTCTCTTCCTCCCACCTCCTCACCATCTTCCATACGCCTACAGCATTCAACAACAAGGTAAGTAATAACTTGAACATAGTTTTGTAGGTTTATTTAGATGAATTAGGTATAAAAATTTAGTTTGATGTGGGGTTTTTGGGGTAGTCAGGAACGGATTAATTCATTTCCCTTATTTCTTATGGGGAAATTAGCTTCGGAATGCGAGTTTTCGGAATACGAGGCGTCTCCAGGAACCAATTAAACTCTTAAACTGAGGTATGCCTGTACCTGTCTGGGCAGTCACTGTTGGCATTTAGGCACATTCCTATGTTCGTTTCCTTAGTGTAGACTGCAGTGTGGAAACCTCCGCTCCTTTCCATGACTGTTACATCTAGAAAGGGCAGCTTCCCATCCTTCTCCATCTCGTAAGTGAAACACAACACAGAATTCCTCTCAAATGCCTCCTTCAGCTCCTGCAGATGTCTGACATCAGGTATCTGTGTAAAAATGTCGTCAACATACCTGCAGTATATGGCGGGTTTCAAGTTCATGTCGACTAAGACTTTTTGCTTGATGGTACCCATGTAGAAGTTCACAAATAGGACACCTAGGGGAGAACCCATGGCGACCCCATCTACTTGCTTATACATGTGCCCATCCGGGCTCAAGAAGGGTGCCTCTTTAGTACAAGCTTGGAGTAGTTTCCTTAAAATGTTTTCTGGTATGTCAAGAGGAGTACAGGCCGGATCACGATACACTCTGTCTGCTATCATCCCGATTGTTTCATCCATAGGTACGTTGGTAAACAGTGATTCTACGTCCAACGAGGCTCTTATCCCTGTGGCCCGTGTTCTCCGCAGTAAGTCAACAAATTCCTTTGGAGACTTCAGGCTGAAGGCGCAAGGGACATAAGGAGTCAGCATGCCGTTGAGTCGTTTTGCCAGTCTGTACATGGGTGTGGGTATCTGGCTGATGATTGGCCGAAGTGGGTTTCCAGGCTTGTGTGTCTTGACATTTCCATATGCGTATCCAGGTTTATATTCCCCCAATAATCTTTGGCAGGTGGAGTCCGGATTTCTTGGCGTTCACAGTTTCGATCAATTTGTTGACCTTTGCTTTCAATTCGGCTGTAGTGTCCTTCGTTACCCTTAGGAATTTAGTTTGGTCAGAGAGTATGAGGTTCATTTTTGCCAGATATTCGTCTTTTTTAAGAATGACGTATATTGGCGACTTGTCACCTCTCTTGACAACTATCTCCTTGTTCTCACGAAGGCTCTTAGCTGCCGCTTTGAGCTCGGGGGACAGTATGGTGCTTCTGTAGTTGCCTCGATTCTTTCCTCCTTCCGCAATAAGTTCTGCTTGTAAGGTGTCTTTGGTGACAGAATCTCCAACTCCACTTTCCGGGCCACCTCACTTGGTCTGGACATAACGTGACAGTTTATACCCAGATTTAGGAGAGTGACTTGGTCCTCAGTGAGGTTGATTCCTGCAAGGTTCAGGAAGCCGTCTCTTGGTCGTGGAATTGCCATAGGTCCTCCATATAATGTTGTTAGTTTCTTGATTATCCTTGTTTCAGTGCTGAGGTGATGTCGGTCTGTGAGGATGTCGAGGTGTTGCTCGATGCGAGTACGGAGACTTTCGTCGATGTTGCTGTTTCTCCATTTGTTTGTAGCATGAAGTAGTTGCGTTTTGTTGTCTTTGATTTAATATTCTGCCTTGTATATCTGATTACGAATCAGATCTTGGCGATATTTTATCGTGAAGGCTTGATTCCTTGCTGCTGGGTCGTGCATTTTTATATTAGTATATTTTGGTAGCAGTCTTTCCTGTAGACATATATTATTAAATATGACCGAAAAAGTAAGATTAATAATTCTAACACGAATTTTCTCAATGTTTCTTATATTTCTTTTCAGTGATAATGGTAACTGAAAAATCAATTCTCCAAAATTCATTTTTATTTCTAGTCTGACGCGACACTTGAACGCGTTTCGTAAAACTTATTACATTTTCAAAGACTTTAGTTTACACACACAACTATAACTAAACAGAGTTTAAACAGCTTCGATTTTATACCTGCATTTGGGTGAGGTCATATGTTACAACAGTTTTGGATGAGGTGAAAACAAACTTTCAACACAAGACAGAACACGAAACAATGGGTATAATATTGGGTAAGTTAAAGGGAAGAATGGAAGTAACTGCAAAGGGCCTATTGGCCCATATTTCTTGATGCTTCTATATTGGTGCGGAGTCTTGAAGTGGGTAGAATATAGTTGTGCATTAATTGGCTGTTGATTGCTGGTGTCGACTTCTTAATGTGTAGTGCCTCGCAGATATCAAGCCGCCTGCTATCGCTGTATCTATCTGTATCTAGATATCTGTATCTAGATAGATACAGCGATAGCAGGCGGCTTGATATCTGCAAGGCACTACACATTATTAAGAAGTTGACACCAGCAATCAATAGCCAATTAATGCACAACTATATTCTAACCACTTCAAGACTCCGCACCAATATAGAAGCATCAAGAAATATGGGCCAATAGGCCCTTTGCAATTACTATATATATATATATATATATATATATATATATATATATATATATATATATATATATATATATATATATATATATATATATATATATATATTTATATATTGTCGTACCTAGTAGCCAGAACGCACTTCTCGGCCTACTATGCAAGGCCCGATTTGCCTAATAGGCCGAGTGATTTTTTTTATTTTCAATAAATTGTTTCCAATTAGTTTATTTAAATTATTATTATTATATTATATTAGGAACATAAATTATTGACGTAGTTGTGTTAGTTTAGGTTAGGTTTAGATAGGTTAGGTTAGGTTAGGTTGGTTAGGTTCGGTCATATATCTACGTTAGTTTTAACTCAAATTTAAACAAATTAACTTATACATAATGAAATAGCCAGATTTATCATTTCATAAGAAAAAAAATTAGAAAAATATATAAATTCAGGAAAACTTGGCTTATTAGGCAAATCGGGCCTTGCATAGTAGGCCGAGTACGACGTTCTGGCTACTAGGTACAACATATATATATATATATATATATATATATATATATATATATATATATATATATATATATATATATATATATATATATATATATATATATATATATATATATATATATATAAATGCAATTTTGTATAGTTAAGTTGTGAAACACTGTTCTTGCATAGGTGAAACTGATATAAAATTACCATTGTTATGGACTTGAAGCCTGTACAGTTCATAGGCTTGTTGAGGTCCCTTTAGTCCACTGCTGACTTTCCCTAAGATGCAACCCACAACAGCTGCCTAACTCCTTGATACCTATTTTAATGCAAGGTGAACAGGAGATTTGGATGAAAGGAAACGCACCCAACCATTTCTGTTCTTTCTGGGAACTGAACCCGAACTTGGGTGTCCTAAGTTTTGAACCAAGGACATAGATCACTGTGCTACAAGTGTCTCCTCTCACTGACCTGGGTCCCTCAGTTGTGAGCCGAGGACATAGATCACTGTGCTACAAGAGTGTCCCTCCTCTCACTGACCTGGGTCCCTCAGTTGTGAGCCGAGGACATAGATCACTGTGCTACAAGAGTGTCCCTCCTCTCACTAACCTAGGTCCCTCAGTTGTGAGCCGAGGACATAGATCACTGTGCTACAAGAGTGTCCCTCCTCTCACTAACCTGGGTCCCTCAGTTGTGAGCCAAGGGCATAGATCACTGTGCTTCAAGAGTGTCCCTCCTCTCACGAACAAGTTCCAAGGCAATTCAGAAGAGGTTTCACAGATTTGAACTACATGCAATTGACTTGTATAGTAAAGATCATCTTAGCAAGTACTGTATACAAATAAAAATTGGAAAGTCGGTAATAAAAATATTGAAAATAGTATGTAATTAACATCTGTATGTAAGCCCTAATGTGTAATACAGTAATAACAACAATTGTGAATGTTGCAGGTAAATAGTACAACAGTATAGTATTAGCAGAAGAGCATAGTAATCCTGTGGTGCAATGGTCAGAGCAATCAGTTCACAGTTCCATGGTCCAGAATTCAACACGTACATCATGACAGAAGTGTTTGGGCAATGTTTCCTTTCACCTAGCAGTAAATAGGTACCTGGTGTTGGGCAACTATCATGGGTTGCATCCAGGCAAAGTTAATAGTTGGCGAGTAGAACCCTGATAAGTCTTAACAACTTCATGGTCATGACTATTGGGAGCCATCTCCTCTGGTAGTGATTCCATGGATGAGAAAAACAAATTATTTTTCTTTATTTTGGGTTAATATAAATATAAATTCTAATTATAAAATGCTGACATTTTTCCCATTACCCACAGGTAACCCTGTCTGAGAAATTACTAATTAGTGTATGCAGCGAGTATAACCATGTGCGCACGTGGTCCGTCACACGCTTCAGGGGGATGATCTCCACGCAACCTGGATCAACGCCTCTTTCCTCGTACAAAATTTTGACCATTGATGAAGTTGACCCCAATATATACTATGCCATTGCTAATGACTGTGGTAAGCTTAAATTATCAATGTAGTAATTTATTTGTAATTTATATAATTTTGCTGTTACAGTAATGTAAGCTGTACTATAGTTGGTAAACTGCCCTACTCACAGTTAATGAATATACACCTTGGTATTTCCAAGCTCTCACATTTGGTCTTTTGGACAGGAACATGCATAGTTGGGCACGAATGACATGTTGCATTGCATGGTACAGTTGGAAATATTCAAAACAACCCTATAGAGCCATTAACCCCAATGTCTGCTCAAATCACTTTCAAATGATTGGCAGCTCTGCACTAACCACTCTAGGTGAAATTGGGTACCAAGTAATATTTAAATGTCCCATCAATTCCATGGGGACATCATTTGACATTGTATTGGAAAAGAATCCTGGGAGCATTACTTTTCTTCCTGAGACTTAGTAAAAAGATCTTTGCTGATGAAATAGAATATATATAATAAACAGTTACCCTGAGTATTATACCTCAGATTATTAAATAAAGTGCCCTTAAAGCAAAGGAAGAGAAACTAAGAAGTGCTGGTGTATGGGTTGTGGTGGTTAACATGGCGCTGCAATGATGACATGTACACTTCCAGTTACCAAGTGAACTATATCTGTTGCAACAATTTCATGCTGGTTGTGACCGAATGTTGGTATTCATGGCACAAGGTAGTGCTATGGCTTTGTTGGTAGTCGTGTTGGAAAACACAATTTCTTGTTGTTAATTGAAGCTAATTTGTTTCCACAAGCTACTAAATGTGGTGAAAATAGTATTATTTTAATTGGTACAGATCATAGTGCTAGCGATGGTCATTCAGAGTGTTGATGGTCATTGTGCAAGCAATACATATACAGTATCTTGATTGTGGTAGTGTCAAGTAATTACCTAAGTGTAGTTACAGGATGAGAGCTACGCTTGTGGTGTCCCGTCTCCCCAGCACTCTGTCATATAATGCTTTGAAATTACTGACGGTTTTGGCCTCCACCACCTTCTCACTTAACTTGTTCCAACCGTCTACCACTCTGTTTACAAAAGTGAATTTTCATATATTTCTCCGGCAGCTTTGTTTCGTTAGTTTAAATCTATGACCTCTTGTTCTTGAAGTTCTGGGTCTCAGGAATTCTTCCCTATCAGTTTTATCGATTCCTGTTACTATTTTGAACATAGTGATCATATCGCCTCTTTTTCTTCTATCTTCTAGTTTTTGCATATTTAATGCCTCGTAGCTCTTGTCCTTCAGTTCTGGGAGCCACTTAGTGGCATGTCGTTGCACCTTTTCCTGTTTGTTGTTGTGTTTCTTAAGATATGGGCACCATACAACCGCTGCATATCCCAGCTTTGGTCTAATAAAAGTCATGAACAATTTCTTTAGTATTTCTCCATCCATGTATTTAAAAGCAATTCTGAGGTTAGAAAGTGTAGCATAGGCTTCTCGTACAATGTTCTTAATGTGGTCCTCAGGTGACAGTTTTCTATCTAGAACCACCCCTAGATCCCTTTCTTTGTCAGAATTCTTTAAAGATTTCTCACATAATTTATAGGTTGTGTGGGGTCTGTGTTCTCCAATTCCACATTCCATAACATGGCATTTATTCACATTAAATTCCATTTGCCAAGTGTTGCTCCATATACTTATTTTGTCCAGGTCTTCTTGAAGGGCATGACATTTCTGGTCTTTTTCATGCATTTTTCCATTTTTACAATTTCTCTGCTACACATTGTTGTGTGTTTTCTTATGTGCTTCTTGGCTCTACGAATGTTCGTGCTAGGTTGGCCTTTGTCCATGTTTGGTTCCTTGTTTCTGGGGGGAGCCCCGTCGGCTCCCCGGAGCTTTACCGGCTGATATGCTAATGTCAGACTTTGGCATCAATCATGTGTATGGAGTTCTAGGGCCTACCGGGGACCACGGCCAGAACCTGGCCCCCTCAGAGAGGCAAGGGAAGCAATGGCCTATAGAAACCCCCGTGTGGTAGGAAGCATTCTATGTCTGCCATCGACCGGGTCAAGCATCCAGAAAGGTAAGCATTCCAAAACAAACCCCGCCGCTGTCTGCAGTAGCTCCCCCCTCCCCGCCAGGGGGAAGGGGGAGCCCCAGACCTCCCACGCCGGCTATCCACCCATCAGTTCTTCGGCTGATGCTATAGGCACCGGTTATGTGCTCCGGCTCCAGTGGTTGTTTCAGCACTGTACCTAGAGTGTGGTGTCTGTTTTCTAGGTGGTGCGTGAGCCGGGAGTGATTCTCCAGTACTCGGGCTGCATGCGCCTAGGGTTCCCTTCCCTAGGTGCCCTGTAAGTACTGCCCTTGGGGCTTGGGGCCACCTTCCACAAGTTCCTTGGGTCCTGCCCCTGCTTGGTTTTCGGCCGCTCTTTGTGTGCTCAGGTGTTCTGTCTCCCTTGTTCACCTTAGAGTAAGGGGCAGTTTTTTGCACTGGTGGGGCGCAGGGTACTGTGCAGCTTGTCTTTACCAATCATAGCGGCCGGCTCTGTTCCGCTTGGGTACGCTGTCCTCTTGCGGGGTTTTCTTTTTCTTTTTGTTTATCTACCTGGTGGGGGGGTCTGCCTTCGTTCTTGCCCCTTGTGTCACTTGTGTTCTGAGTATTTTCCGGTGGTACCCCCTGCTAGGTCCCCGTGAGTGTACACGTCCCGGGGGTTCAGCTCTTAGAAAGTTGTTTGGTAGCTTTGGGTGCCGGTTAGCAGTACCCTGCCTGGGATTACCTGAGCGTGAGTCCTCTTATAGTAAACGTTCGGGACCCTGGGAAACCCCTGGGGGCGCGTGGGTCCGATGGATGTGACCCCAGAGCCCCCCTTCCTCGCTTCCAGCGAGTTTGAGGGTTGCTCTCATCCTTTGTCTCTGGGTGACTCTCTGTTTTGCCTCCGTCTGCTGCCTGTGGGGTCGGTGACACCTTCGACCTGGAGTCCTGCGAGTTTGGTTGCTCGTTGTGGCTCGGTTACCCAGTTGTGCTGACAAAGCGGGTGCGGGCAGCAGGGGCATTGCACTTGAGCCTTGGTGGTGGCAACGTTCTCGTGGTTTCCTCCCCGGGAGCCCCGGGGCTGCCCCGTTGTAGTTAGTTTTGGGACTTTGGGGGGGTTGGTTGCTTCGGTTCCATCCACGCCCCCTTGTCTTTCCCCTGGTTCACCCTTCCTGCCTGCATCCGGTTCCTTACCGTCTGTAGGTTCGGGGCGGGGTTTTTGATGGTGTTGAGACTCGGGCAGTCTTGGGGAATTTCCCTTCCGGGGTAGTGACGGGGGCATTTGAGCCTGTTCCTCCAGCCGTGTTGTATGAGTCTGCCAGTGGTTACGCGGAGTGGGGTCTTTCCTCCCCACTCGCCGTACGTGCTGTTGGGCGTCGGCCCCTCCCCGGGCTCGGTTCCTTGGCCTTTGAGTCGGTTGATTCTGTCCTGTGGGTGGATGTTTCCTCCAACCCTTTTTTGGGACGGTGTTTTCGTCATGTTTCCCCGTTCGATGGGGTTCTACGTGACTTCTGATCTCGGGTGCGCCTGCGCCTTTGTGTGCCTTCGGGACTAGTGTTGGCTTCTGTGTTCTCGAGGGTTCGGGAAGGTTTTTCGCTACTTCCCGCATTATTGGAACGTCTGTCGGCTCCTCGTCCTTGTCGCCGTTTTGGGCTACTTGTGGCCCAGTTGGGCTACTTGTGGCCCGGTTGGGTTACTTGTGGCTCGGTTGGGCTACTTGTGGCCTGGTTGGGCTACTTGTGAGTCGGTTGGGCTACTTGTAGCTCTGTTGGGCTACTTGTCGCCCGGTTGGGTTCCTTTTTTGGGCTCTTTGCTTCTTTGGCCGGTTTTATTGTTCCTGCTTCCTCTTTTGGCTACTTTTCTCGTGCAGTAGTCCTGGTTGGCGCCTTCCCACAGAGACGGTGTGCGGTTTGGCCAGCGTGTTATGCGCATGCGCCGTGGAGTTTGTTTTGGTCTGGGCGGTGTTTCAGTGCTGGTGTTTTGCGCCCTTTTTGCTATGGTGCTTCGCCTCTCGTTCTTCTCCCTGGCTGCGGTATGTGCCCCCTCGCTCCAGGGATGTCCTGGTTCCCAGTTGTGGGGAGGACACCGCGGTTTTCCCTGTGTCATGGGTGTGGGCCGCCTCCTTCGCCTCTCCCTGCTCTCCTGCGGATCCGGCAGGGTCCAGCTCTGGCGTCTTCACCTGGCGGTGCTCCCAGGTTCTTCGGGGCACGGTTGAGTCGTGTCAAGTTCGTGCCACCGTTCGCCAGGTGAGTGTCTGCAGTCTGGCGTCTTTTGGCTGGGCGCTGGATGCAGTGTGTTTATATACCTGTCTTTATTTAGGTATTTTTGTACGACTGAGACCGTTCGCACACCAGTGACTGTCCCTTTTTCAACCCTTCCTGTCCCCCTCATGTGCATGTCCAACCCATGCTGGAGTCATTCAGGGGACCCACCTTTTTTTCATGTTGAGAGGTGTGGGGGTTGTAGGGTTGGCTCTGTACTCACCTGGTAAGGCTCCTGGCTGTGCTTGCAGGGTTTGAGCTCTGGCTCTTGGGTCCCGCCTATCTGGTAGAACCTGTGGGATAGTACCAGTAGAGTGCAGTGGTGCTATTGGCACACTTGGGGAACACTGTATTACCATCAGAGGTCTGTGCTTGTTACACGACCTACTTGCGAGCATAAAGCCTTCTTGCTGGTTAGTCCGTGGACTTCCAGGGCACACTAGCCTGTTTTCGTATAGCAGTTCCGGCCCATCCTGGTTGTGAGGGTATGTGGGCCGGCGGGCCGCTCCTAGCACCTGCCTGGTGGGCCACCCTCTGGCCGGTCTAGCCTGGCCTTGGGCCGGGCTTGGGGTGTAAAAGAGCTCCCAGTACCCCATCCAGCAGGTATCGAGCGGGGTTTTCTCCGCCGTCGGTCGCCTGGTGCAGGTTTCTGGGCCTGCTGGGTTGTGTTGTGTCTCCGTTGGCCCTGTCAGGGGTCTGCCTGCTCCGTTTCTCTGCCTTTGCAGAAGGGAGTTGCCATTTACATGTTGCATGTGCAGTGGTGCCTGTTGCTGCT